ATCATCGAAATTCAAAAATGAAACACCCGTTTCAATATGTTCTCTCCAAGTTTCTAAACAGCCTTTTCCTTCTCTCCAGTCTTTTGAAGTGAGGTATATATGATCAGAAAAAGGGTTTAGTACGCTTTGAAGTGGCCTTCTTAGGATCCTCCGTATCAGAAAGATCACATTGCTGAACAAAATATCCAGCTTGAGTGAGCCATAATCATAAGACTAATACCGATGACATATTGAAATGATTGCTTCCAGTTTACAAGGCCAATGTCTCACCCTGCATGAAATAGCAAGCACAGGAGTGAAAAGAGAAGTGATACGCTTCTAAAATATAGAAACTAATTTACAGCACTGCACGTTTACATCGTCTCTCCCTATGTGAATTAAAAAGTGCTAAGAGCTAAAAGAGAAGTCAATAAATATACATTTCCAAATTATAGAAACCAAATCAATTGATGGTAATCCAGATCCAGAGATTTCATAAAAGATCAGAGAAGAGAAGAATGACAGAATCTGTTCCGGACAGAGACGTGACTATGTGATAAAATTTCAACATCAGACCAATTCACGGCTAGCCAGGTGTCAGTTTTTAGCAAGTAAAAAACACAGAATTTATCGTTCTTTTCTGCAAATTTGAACAATTTGATTTAATTAGCACGACTTTTGAACACGTCAAGCCCCATCTCACTTGGATCAGTTGCTTGCAGCTCTACCTGAATGCCATCTAATTCCCTCTTGAACCTGTCTTTGGAGCTAGCATAAATCATTTTGCTTCTCACCCTTGCTGTGTCAGGGGACCTTAGCAAGGAGATAGCAGTTACTAGTTAGCAATCCAACATAAATTTGGGGGGTATACACTTGCTATGTTCATGGGAAGAAAAAAAATTACCAAGCAATGAAAAAAATCTTGCTCTTTTGGCAATTCTCTTGAGTCACAAAGTCAAAATCATAGACAGCATATCGGCACTCATCAGCTGGAAGGCTTGCAGTGAAGTCTTCATAAGTTAAAGTTGGTTCACCAAGCTTTTCCACAATTACCTGCTTTTGCTTCTCCTCGATCTTGAATACTATGAAACGGTATGTTCTTTTTGCTTTCAATTCCAAAAATTTTAGCTTGCAGTCATCATGCACTGCCATTCCTGATGCTGCGTTAGCCTACACATAGTGATTGAAAAACTATAACTAGTGAAAATGTTGAAATTCCAAGAATTATGTATGCTTTAGAGAGTATTACACTAATTATTATGACTTCTGACGAGATACAAACAACTTTGCAATGGACGACAATCTAAAAAGGCAAATTTGACACATAATTGAGGGATGGGGTTTGCCATTACAGGGCAGTTATATATACTAACAAAATTATATTAGAAATTTTAAAGGAAACCATGCCCCCAAAAAAATATTGTTCTCAATTTAAACGAAACTAGGAACCTGTCTTTCAAACACAACCTTATCAGTTCTTTACGTATCTAATTGACTCTAGGTAGTCAATACATGCATTCCAATTGCATTGCAAAACCCTTGAATTAATGACAAACGAGCAGAAATGGGACTAAACTGGCATATCTAAATCCAACTGATCCAGCTACCTAACAGCCAGAGCTAGAATCTAAAATATTGCATAGTTAAATGTCAAAAAATAAATAAATATATTGTTTTAAGATACCAAAAGGAGGAGTTTGTATTTGCAATTGTGCATTTAAAAGAAACCGACACATAAAATATTACAGCAATTCATTTAGTGTCAAAAAATCGGATAACCAGATTTCTAAAGAAGCGTCACATTATTAAGTAAATTAGGTCAAAATAACAGCAATTCGCATTGCCAAGAATATTCCATGAAAGCTGTTCTGGAGTCTGTGGACAATGTCATTGACTCCTAGAGTGGAAAATAAACTTAAGCACTTGTTTGGTTTGGATTAAAATCTGATCTTAATCTATGTCAAAGTCAAACAATTAATATTAATAACATCTTTTATAGGTCCCACAACTTTTTAACCATACATTTCAAAAATTTATATCACAATCTACTAAAAAGTCTGATTTTAATCCCAACCAAACATCCTCTAAGACCAAAACAGAGAATTGTGCAAGTTCTGAATATTGGTTAAAAACACTTCTTGATGCTTCAACGTTTATTCTCCAGACTCAATATTTAGGCTTCAGATCACAAAATTCAACTTGTAGAAGCATAAAGTGCATCTCTGAGTAACTTATCTACGTCAATAAGCACATAGTGCAAAATTTGTAATTTGATTACAGAAAGCAGACACAAGCATTTGTTGATTTGCCAGGGTACATTTTCTCAAAAGGATCGTGGTAGAATTAGGGTTCTTGACGCAATGCAAGTGTAAGAAAAACAGACACAAGATCAACAAACTTGTTGATGCAAAAAAGAAAAAGAAAAAAGGACCTAGAAAATGTAGTCCCAATTTTGTCATTTTTAACCGTCAAGTCACTAATGATTGTAGATTTAATTAGTAGTCAGCCATACGTAATTCAAAATATTGATTATAAAAGTTGAGATACTCAAATAACCTTTGGGTCTTTTCAAATTTGACGAGTATCTGAAATAACTAGTGAATTACAATTCTATTGTACCGCAGTTTATTCATCTACGCTGATAATTTTTTGACTTTTATTTTCTTTATCCGAATCAAGAAACTCAGTTGGGATTGAATCGAGGAAAATATAAAGTTCTTGGTAAAAAAAAAAAAAAAAAGACACAAAAAAAGGGGCCCCCCCCCCCCCCCCCCAAAAGGCCCAAGATTATTTATTTATTTATTTTTGGTAAGGTATTTTTCAATTATTATTATTATTAATTTTTTTTGTAAAAACAGTTTTTTATGTGTAAAATATTTTTTTTTTCTCGTATTAGCCCGATCTTGGATCTAACCTGATAGTGTTAACGTTGAACTGAACACTCAGTGAATAAAATATTGAAAAGAATTAAAAAACGATTTTGAAAACTTGTTCAATCTCATTCTGAGTTGTTTTACTTAGTCTGCACTTAATTTCTGTGTTCGTGGTGTTTTTCCAACCAATCTGTATTCTAGTAATTTTTTATGGTTGCATAATGTACAAGGCGTCACATAAGATTCCAATTGAAGATATACGAGAATAAATGTTTGCTATCTATCGAGACAGTTGTGTTTTGATCAATTTTGCATTGGGCATTAACAAACACGCTACAACCAACAAAGTACAGCGATTATATATTATTCACTCTGCGTTAAAATGATGGCCAACCTTAGTTTAAAAGATTATATAATAATCACTCCGTGTGATTATTGTCATATCCAATTGAAATTGTATTAATAATTCTAAATAGGGTTGCATCCTACACTACCAAAATATGATGATCCTCAAATAAGATACGATGTTTCTCAAGTCGAATGATGAATTTACATTCGCCATTGAGAGATAATCCATTAACATTGAGGTAGTCATCCATGTAGATCTCCATATATTCGTTCAAGAAAAGCTTCATGTGAAATTACAGTGGGAGTTCTTGTGTGAAGTTTGCCTTCCAAGTTCCAAGGTTAGCCATCTGTTATGGAACTTGTTTTCCCGATTCAATAATAAACCCGAAAATTGATTTAATGTTCCCAAGTATGTAACTACCACAAGGCTGTGAGACCCTTATCACCTATGATTCCTTTTCCATGTTCAGAGTAGTGGTGATTTCTGGGTATTACAGTTAGAACATGCAAATAGGAGAGCGTCACAGACAAATTCTTTGTTGCTGGTTAAAATTGAGATTGCTTGTAAACATTAACTCAATGATTCAGGTTTTCACAGAAGTCTATGTTTGCTCTAGGTTTGTTGTCTCCTATTTGATTATTGGGTATGGTTACGGATATCAAATCTTTGGAGCTGGGGATTTGATCAAAAGGGACATGGTTACTTGTTATTCATAAAATTAATCTTTGCACGTGCTCTAGAAATGTAAAAACATTAATTCGACAGTACAAAGAACAAAATTAGTACAGTATACATATTAGATTTCTAATTGAAAGGTGAAAAATGATTCTAGAAAAGTCAAATCTAGTCACTTCAGTAGTAAACAGTGGTAGTGGCATGGTATTTGTGACCCGTATCTGAGTTGGAGAGCATTATCCCATTTGTAGTAATCAATTGCTCTTTGCTCCCATGCATGCTTGCTATTGAAATTGTCTTTCAGATTGTCATGTATATCACATTTGTATGAAATTATGCAGTGTTGTCAAATCAGAGGCTAGCATGGTAAGCGAAGTTATACCTCATATATCATTCTTTCTTTTCAAAATCAAGAATAGACACGGGTTGAAGTGAAGCTAAAGCTGCAGTATCATTTTGAAACAGAATTTTTTTCTTTAAATGAGAAATGATTGGCATTTATTTCTCTCTCCACTTGAAAGCTTTTGAGTTTCTAGTCTAAACGTTTCCTCCCTAACTGCCCACCTCACATGACTTTCCATTCTGAATAGCACTGGTGGAGATTTTTCTGCTCTTCCATTTTTGTTCCGTAAGATTATATGTTATTGACGAGAAAAAGTCTGCTAACCGCAGGAACCATTGAAATTTAACGAAGAAAACCACCCCTTAAGTTTAGAACTGTAATATGTAGATAGAAACTTTGCAGAACTTTTAAGGTCCGCGTCCATCTAACAAATTTTTTGCTTTTGCTTCTACTTCTTGTAGAAGAGCTTCTTGAAAAACTATTTTAAACCAACTCCCTCCAAAAGCTTTTCTTGCTGATGAACACTTATTAAAAAATTATTCAAACTCGTTTAAAAGTAGTTTTTAAGTCTCATAAGCAGTCTTTAACTTTTCAAAAGTGGTGTCCAATGGGGCCTAGGTCTCGGATATATTATACAGAAAATGATTAATATATTATGGTTTCCATGCAATTTTTTATTTCCGCATGAATTTGCTTTTCATAGCTATGGCTAGATTAAATAAGTGAAGCATTTTTAAGAGTTGGCAGTACTGTAGATAGTAAATCATTTGCTGGATATAGGTAAGTTAAATCTTAAAAGAAATTACTATTATACTGAGTAACCTGAACATAAGTTTTTAACCTCCAACTTAAAAGAAATATTGAGTTCTACAGCTTTACGGTTTTGATGGTGGACGACGATTCCCAATTGGATTTGGTCCAGATGGTGCTTTACGAATTTTCTTCTCTTTTTCCCCCTTGACATTGCCTGCCTGTTGGTAAAACATGAGTCATGTATCTCCATTTTATCACCTTAGACCAAAAAACAACAAAATGAAAGATAAAATTTATTATATTCTTACCAAAGTTCTCATAATGTGTCCAGCTGCTGTCCTGTATTCTGCAGGTTTGATCTTGAAATCAACTGTTGTGAGGATTTAGAAGGTAGAGGCTTCGTTATAAAATTGAATTTTCAAGAACCAAAAAATTGTTTGATCCAATGGTAAGCATTATTTTATATTGAACCACTTCATCTAAAAGTTTAAACTATTAAAGAGGCAAAAATGCCTTGAAAGTGCACAATTTCTATAAATGGATGGATAGAGAGACTTGAACATAGAAAATTCCTCAAATTTGACACTACGATAAACTACTAAAAGTACGTCTTTTGAGAATGTGGTGTGTGTATGTTTATATATGTATCCAAGCATATCACCTCAAAATATGAGAAATGTAGTAGCTTGCCTGATTCTGTTGCTCGAACGTTAAAACCAATAGCCTGATGTTGTTGAAATGCTGCCGAGATGAGCCATACAAGGAGAAGATAAAGTAGAATCCGTGTTCTTATCATCTTAAACACGAGCCAGGGAAAGAAGATTTCTGAGCAGAAGGCTGGACTTGAAGTATGGAGACTTGTTTTCAATTGTGGGAGAGAAATGTGTTTGGTGCTGTATTTTTGCTAATGATATCTTGAAAATTTTTGAATGTTTGTAAAATGTGGTAGGGATCCTATGCTATTTATGTAATAGGCGACAGGATTGGGAATCTGGCTTTTTGCTCATTGTGAATTGACTTCTTTTCATTCATCATTGCATCCATTATGAGTTTTGAGTTGAATTCAATTCAGTCATGATTGTGTGTTCATGATAAATGATTAGTGTAGCTTTATTCCTTTTGGAGTAGTCAAAGCTTTCTGTCTGCATGGGATTTCAGCCTTATGAGTCATATCTGAAATATCAAGTGTTTTGTATGCACCTTTTTCTTCAGTCTATCCACTATTCTAATGTCAAAGAATGAAATGATAAGCCCCTCATGGGGTGGTGGAATAGGTGAGCGCGGAAGCTTTTGATCACGAATTAGATTCCCCTTACTAACACTTTTTCGGTCGAGTTTGTCGCACTGAACTTGTCGAGTGCGGTTTATCTGGCTGGCGTGATTTGCAGGCTATTGCGTTAATTCGAGAGTTTACCCAGTGCGCACCCACAGGGTAGCGGGCTAGCAGCTGCGAATTCCCCCGTCATAAAAAAAAATGAAAAAAAAGAATGAAATGTTAAATTGTCTTGATATTTTCAATTTAGAGCAAGCCCACTTTTGCATGGATTCATGTAACCGATCCCAAGTTTATTTGAATTAAAATGGAGTTGTTGATCAATCACTAAATCATGTCACCTTTGAAATTGAGGTCCCTTTTTTTTTTTTTTTTTTTTGTAGTCTCAAGAATATCCAAAAGTTTAGTTGCTATGCAATGAACTTATATATTTTATTCAGACACTTAGTTAAGAAATTGTAAAAATAATGGAAAATAAAACGAAGAGATTTGGAGAATTAAATTGAAATCATATTTACTCATACACATAAATGAAAAAAAATGAAGGCATACATGTAGGAAAGTATCAAGGTCATTCCTCACGAGCCTAAGCATAAAAGAGCGTTACCTTATTTTTAATATTATCTTCACTATTCTATGATCATTAAGTATACTTAATGAAGTTGTATATATCAAATTATTAAACTCATATCTATTATATTTACTTAATAATTCCTACAACTAGACAATTGAAAATTGAAAGGAGATGTCCGTTTTGAGGTAAATGGGATCAAGAAATTGTATGCATAAATTTAGTATCTATATCCACATTAGCCATTATATCCAAAAAAAGGGCTTCACACAAACAGGAAAAAAATTAATTTAAAAATTAAGAAAATAATAATAATTTTATAAGAAAGACGTGTCTTTCATATTTACATATAGGCCCCCCATAAAGTGGTCATCAGCTAAGTTGATTGTCTTTTGTGTCCTTATCCTCATACGGAATGATTTAAAAGCATCTCACGCCAAAACATCATGAGACAGCTTTTCACGTCTTTTGACATTGCACATAAGACTTCCTTCCAAGTCCACTGTAAATATATTTTCAAGTAATGGATTCCCCAGGGAAATAATACGGTAATAGACCGTGGAGAAGCAAAAAAAAAAAAAAAAAAAAAAAAAATATAAATAATAAT